AATTTATGTTCAAAAGTGTCCAGGTACTACCTCCTTTACCTTAGTAACTATGATAGACGAGACACGGGACTGATTCGTTATCTGTGACAAAGTTGAATTGAGTGTTTATTGATTGATTCTTGGAGTGGATCGTCGCGTGATTGCGAACGCTTGATTAGAGACGATCTACTACGATAGACTACGATAAATTGCAATTGCTTCAGGAGGTCGTCACGTCTGCTTAGAACTGCTTTTCGCGCTTTGAAATCGCGCCCATCGATGATCAGAGTAGGCGGAGCTGTAAATCAGTCAAAGGAAAGAGGAAATGAGTCACTGGGAGCGTGATGTAAACGCTACGTTTGTACGTATCGGATAGTTTTCGCTAGGATCGCGATGACGTTTTCATCGGATGCATTTCACGAGTTCCCACGTGTTTCGAGCCGCGTTCCTCGGTGGAACCAATTTCTCCCGTTACACGTGTTAATGCGCGCGCGTTCCTTTATGAGTTTAACTCGTTCAAGTACTCCAAAACTGTGCGTGATCTCGTTAGGTCGAATCGCTCCGCAATCAGCGACCTTGAAAATGAGAGTGAGAGCGTCTCACGGCGTGCTTTCGATTAAAACCTGCAACTTATGTTAATACCGGAGTCCTGATGATTCGTGTTCATACGATTTGAATCAATGTAACTCATGTACCGGTAAAGTAAGTCTGTATCTATCTGTAGCGTAACGATCACGCGGTTGTCAGGGACTCCGAAGGGAAGAATGGTACTTGCGACCAAGGAACAATGAAGTTCGTTGATAACGTTATTAGGATTGTTCATTGATTCTATTCTACGATTGTTCGCAGGCATTTCTTGAATAATTACGATGGCGCCAAACGTCGACGCGACGGCTTTACGATTGCAGACTAGCTAGCGAATCGTTGCGCAATCGCGCGAACTTCTGGACGTTCTTTATCCAAGGCAGTCCCCTTCGTTTTCGTCGGGATCGTTTCCTGGATCGCATTGTAATCTGGAAACGCGGTGCGAAACGATCAATACTTCTCCTTAGTAGTATTTGCGTAGCACCCGATCGATTCGTTCTTGGCTGGGCCGTTGCATCTTCTGCGATTTCACGTGACGTTACGCGCTACCGGCTGCTGCGTAATCATCGGGCACGAGTCAGTCGTTTCAGAGGATATTACATACGTCCAAAGTCGTAACGGTGTAATCGTTCAGGTAATCGAAACACAGCTGTGACGACCTGATTCATGCAACTGCAGCTGCGAATCGGTGTTCACCAGAGTCTGTATTCGTCTTCTCTTTAGATTCCGTCTGTCGATTTTGAAGAGAAAGCTCGATTCGCGATCTCGTAGACGATGAGAGCGATATTTGCTCGATGAGTTCCCACTTCTGCATTTCATCGTCGATTATTCATGAGAGGAGTCGCGAATAAACATTCGCTCGTCTCATCGCAAAGCAAATTACTTCGCTGGACTGATCGAGATTTTTTTAATTGGCTCTTCTGGAAATCGTCTGTGGCGAATTTTAGAATTTCCCGTTGTTACCTTTCTCGATTCCATGGAATTTTCTTTGTAAGAGACTCACGAGTCAACCGGGGAAATAAATTAAACTGGAAAACTATAGTCGTGGTCCTCTGTTCTGAAAACCGCGTGGGTAAATCTGAAATCGTCAGAGTTAAAATTGAACGCTTTCATCGGTATTTGGTATGTAAACGTTCCACGAGCGAACTGGAGAAATGACGTATAAAACGGTTCGTGGAAATTAACGCTAACGTTCCACGATTTGCTATATCGTTTCATCGTAGATGTATCATAACGGCTTTATCGTTTCACGGTGTACGTGGCACGATAAGCCCGATACGCGGATTATCGCCGCACGACTGTTAGTCTCTCATGGTCTACAAAAACCTGTTGTGGGTTCTTTGCTGCCGATTGAATAACGAGTAATGTGGAATAAATTGGTGTGTCTCGCCGGGCCCGGGCCTCGATCGGGCTCTATCGAATCGTTCAACGAACGGTCCACGTGCTCCTCTAATTGCTTCGAAGGATGACGGCCGGGTTTGCAGATCGTACGTATCAGTTCGGCGTGTTCTGATCCCATGGACGGTGAGAGAGCGACGGCGGTCGAAATCATGGGGTTGCAAGTCGGGAACGAGAGAGTTCGATCGAACGGTTCTTCGATTAGCGACGCTCGGTTAGGCATAGAGCTCGACACAAGGTAATTAAAGTGTACCCGGGTATTTTTATATGCATTTTAGAGTCTTTGGCTCGATGATGACTTCCCAGACTTTTACCGCTCAGCGTTTAACACCGTAAATGCACTATCCGATCGCGTCGTCGTCCCACGCTTTATTAACCTGTTGCTAAAGGCTCTTTAATAGCGACACATTATACACCTCTCCGTGTGGATATAGCGTCCGATCTATACGAAATAACTGTCTCTCGAACGATTCGTTTCGCATAAGTTTATTCCCTGGTATATTATAGTACAGAGGTGGGGAACCTTTTTACCACTAGAGACCATATTAGGCAGTAATAAAGGGGGCCGCTATCATTTTTTATATTTCACTAGTGATATTTTTATATATATATTCATCAAGATCTTTAAATTGTAATAAAAACTACTTATTTAAATACCACCTCAAAGAAGAATAATATTAGTAGAAGAATTTTTACATCAATTTATTATTTCATAAAGGAACACAATAGAAAAATAATAATATTAATTGTAGTAATAATACGGAAAATAATTTTAGAATCTGATAGAAAATTTAAGTCTGTAGGATATTTGCATTTGTTTCTTGCTTGAAATTGAATGCATTACAATATAAATAACATTTGAAACCGTACAAGGAGGCCGCACGTTCTCCACGTCTGTTAATAGTATAGCTAGTAACAGTGAAACTGAGCCAGCTATGTGCATGCGTTAGTCACTCTTAGGGGGACAAAATTCAAAACGAGTAATAAGTCAACATCTTCTTTTTTCGATGCTCGATCTCGCATTGATATTGTTGGATTTTAACATAATTTTGACGCGTCAAAATAAAAATAATGTTAACGTACGCACAATACCATCACCTACATTAAAATTCTTTTTATTTTGACGCGTCAAAATTATATTAAAATCCAACAGTACTGATGTCAGATCAAGCATCGAAAAAATAAGACGTGGACTTATTACTCGTTTTGAATTTTCTCCCCCTAGAGGAAACTAACACATGCACGTAGCTGGCTCAATTTCGTTGTTACTAGCTGTACTTCCATTCCGTGGCATCGAAGATCCTCCTCCGGAATTTTGAAGAACGATCGTTTACCGTTTAATCGATCGACAATTTCGAGAACGTTCGCATCGATGCGAGATCGAGCAGCGGCGCGGAAATAGAATGGAACTGGAAGCATTGGGAAACAATTGGCTTGAGCCGCTTTGTTCGGCTTCTCCGCAAAGAATTATTTGACCTTTCGGCGAAAAAGCTTCAAAAATATTGTCGTGCTCGCGGATTTTTTAATGCAATCAATCACTGCGCATTGAAAACGCTTTTCAAAGCAACAATAAGACCTTTTGCCGTTTGATTGAATCGTGAGAGGAGAACGAAATTTTCTTGTCCATGCGTCGACGGTCGTGGATCGAACGCTTTTATAGAAAAATACGTACGGAACATCGAAGGGAATCGAGGACGAATCCCAGCTTCGTGTTCTCTTGCGTCTCTGCTGAATGCAATCGTAAGAATTCATCGGCCGATAGGTTTAACCCTAATACGAGCCGCGTATCGTTCAGGGACCCTCTTGCGAAGCCTCTCATCGGCGGACAATAATTTCTTTGTCGTTCACCGCGCTCATCGTTAATTATAACCACGCGTCATCGTGTTATTCGTGGAGAGTTCGAGTCCCTCGATCGACACATATATGTATATTTCTCGCGTATAAGCGATTAATTTAAATGCGTTCGAAGCGAAACGAGATTGGCGTGCTTCAACTATCGCCGCGCGGAAACGAACGACGCTGGAATTTCGCGTCAAACGTTAAAGACACTTTTGCAATTCATTTAACTCTTCTGTTAGAAACGATCGTCTCGATGCTCCCCGCATAAAAAACGGAAACGTGAGTCAGAGTCGACGACATCGTCCCATAGAATGAATTATATTAGATGAATCAGTCGCACGTCTCGGAACTGTTTTTTTATAACGTATCAGACTTTGCAGACTTAACTAAAAATCTATTGGATATCTGTGGCCGATAGCTACTTCCCGTGCACTTATTCAAATTCCGGCCGCGCTCCGCTTATCGTTTCAGCGATACGCGGAACTCCGATGGTCAAGCTTGGCCACCGGTTTTACGGTTTCTAAATTTAAACAGTTGCGCACGCGGTCGAAAAATCGTAGGTGTCGAAAAGCAACGATTTGTTTTACCAGAGAATTTCGTGTCCACGCGATCCGCCTCTCGGTGCTTGTTATCAAGATTTTTATCCTATCGGCAGAAGGTCGGGAATGAAAAACAATTTTGCGCGAATTGCGTTTACAGCGCGGAAGCGTATTAACCACCGAAGGACAGAAAGCGCTGTGAAATATCGGTGGCCATGATGGCGGTGGAAACTGGGTCATTTATAATCTACGTATTTTCGAGTGCACGCTGTGTACACGAAATAGAGGAGCATAGGAAGCTAACGGAGTGGACTTATCGTAGTCCACTTTATTATACAATATTTCATTCGATGGCACGCTGATGCCTTCGCTTTTGCTCAAGGTTCCATTGTTCGGACAGAATTGCAGCGCGCGTAACATAGATTATAATTTATGCAAACGTTCCAAAAAGACGCGACCTAGTTTCCAATAAGGAGGGACATTTAAGTAGAAATCAAGAATTCGATCAGGCTACCACGGCCGCCGTGTAGAAAATGCATCGACACACGCCTTTTTGCGAGCTGCATGACCGGGAGGCGAATATTTCCACGCTTACGTTTGCAAATGGCCTTCGTAAAAAACGAAGGGGAACGCAGTAGCGAGATGCTGAGATTTAATCCGGACGCGTTTTAAATTGCAAAGTAAAGAGCTGGAACTTTTTCTCACGTCGCAGTGTTCGGTGAAATAGTTTCGGAGACGAAGCTTAATCGCGATGTACCAACGGTGCACGTAGCATTTTGTCTTCCTTTTACCGTGTTACGACGGTAATAGATAAGTTGGAATGCTCTATCTACGAAATGAGCGTGAGTCACTCAGTTGTTTCTCGATACTCGACTCTGTCTAAGAAGATTTATGTTGACGAATCTAACGATAACTCGCCTGTTTTCAATATCTACCTGGACTGTTTAGGAACAAATGCTAAAGCGAACTATAATAGAAATAAAATCGACTACTCTTTGCCTCGATGCGCGTAAACATGAAACGGTATACGTTTAGAAATATGAAAGTAAAATGAGGATTATCTCGTATCTCGGGAAGCAGAAGGTAGCTGGTGATCTTACGAGAGGGTTCCCTTAAACTCGCCTCGGGTGGGTGAAAGAGGTCGTCGCTCTGGAACGTCGTGACGCCATCGTTGCAAAGGTCTCATTTGGAGGCTCATCGGGTCAAGTCCCGAACGACTCTATAAAACTGCCGTCATTGTCTCTGAAATTGTCCCTTCTCGTTACCATGAAAGGGCGTTGCCAATGATTGCTGCGTCGCGACTGTAGGAAAAAATATCTAATTACACATTCTACTTAAATTACGCTCCTGTTTACTGTCGCGCTTGGTCGTAGGCGGATAATAGTATTCATTCGCAATTCCTCGTTTTATCAAATAGTGTAATCTAGACTTGCAGCTAGCTATCTGTCCAGAGACTTATCGTTCCGTTCTGCGCAGAACGCCCACGGCCAAAAGCTTCTCGCATTGTTTGGTAACTGCCGGCAGATAATGAGAATTCTTCCCCGGCCGGAAGAAAAAAAGAATCCGCATTTTGAACGCGATTAATCAGCATTTAAGGGTCGCGTTAATCTGGATTTAATTAAACCCGAGCTATCGTCGATCAATTTCCGGGTTAATTTACTCGTTTAAACCGAGATTAAAATTGGACGTCTGTAAATCAGCGTCCGACGCGGAGGAAGTTGAATCCTCTTCCTTCTTCGATATACACAACGTCCTTCCCCATTAGTTTCCCCGGTCTTGTGATAATGTTTCTTCTCGCGAGGCCGTTATCAGCGAAACGTCTTTGCACTTTCCGCAAACTTCCTACCCGGATACTTCGGCCTCGCCCAATCCAGGGTTTTAACGAGGACCGTGGCTTTTTAGAGCCATCCTTAACACGATAACCTTTCGCTCTGTCAATGCGAGACTAAAAGTAGAACGTTGTACACGGACTTGAGCGTCGACGATCCGGTTAAACGGCGGACTGCTCGGACGTTTTTTATCGAGCGACGTGGACACCGGCTCGTCCCGATTTTCGCCTAGTACTTGTCTCATAGCGAAATTCTTTCGTCGGAAAAAAGACTCGCCAGCGAAACGGTAGATCGGACGGCTGACAACAAATTGCACCACGCAAGCTGTCTATAAATAATCGCGGTTCATCTGCATTTAGATTGATACCGATCGTTCCCTGTGGCGCCGTTAAATTGTTCGGTTTTCACCGAGCTACAAGTGTGTAAACGGTCGATTAAGCGTTCGCTTCGCCTCTCAGAGATAGAGAAATATTAATACGGTTCTCCGGTTTGATAACAAAGTGTATTAATAACATAACCGATAAATGCGGACAGTCCGGCGACACGATATTTATTTTTTCTTAAAATAATTTACGTTCGATTTAGATCGTAATTTACTCGTCGATCAATCATGCGTAATTTCGTAGACAGCGTGAGCAATTAAAGTTAAAGAGAACATTAAAAAAACAGATTTCAATTCTCGACGCTCCCGTCGATTCAACGACACTTAATTGTCCACGATTTTACGTAACTTCATTGTCGCGAATCAAACAATTGAACTCGTTCATCGATCGGTTTTCATCTCGTAGGTCGACTGGAATTTTTTTTCTGCCAAGGTTCAGCGCTTTCCTCGTGCGATTCGTGAACAAAACAAACGTGCATCGCCGAATCGCTTACGGTGGCAAAATAATAATCTTTTGCGGAATTCGCTGGCTCCTCGCGTTCGGAGTTCTGCTGACACGTGGAACTGCTGGCAATTGCGATGATAGTTCTGTCTTCTGCCCGCAGGATGGTATTGGACCCCAAGGTCACGAGCCTGCACAGTGATTACGGAAGCTTCGATCGACCATTGGGCGCTGGGGAGGGCCACGAGAGGGACGTCGAGGCTGCGGTTGATGGAAGTAGCAACGGGATGGCACAGTCGAGCGACGTTTACCAAAGGCAACCGTTATTACCTGGTGCGCCTACCAAGGGCAAGGACAAATGGTCCGGAGTGGCGTCCGGTTCGGACTACTACGTGGACGATGAAGACGAGAAGATCGATGGTCTCGGGCGGCATCCTGGAATACCAAATGGGTCCGGGAACGGCGTCGTCAAGCTCGACATACCGGCGCCACTTCGGGAGGAACCTCGTTTCCCTAAGGAAAAGTGGAAAACCTTTCTTGGTAAGGACCGTTCTCCGACGTTATCTGGCACAAGTGTCGAACACGTGTCTCCGTATCATCCTTCCCCAGCACTGCTGATCCTTTTCTCGCCGAACGACCGCGAAGAATCACCGTAGGATCCCTTAACTTCGAACGAAGGATTTACAGACTTTAGAAGCTGAGAGACGAGCACGTCGTCGTTCTACGAGAACTAATTTTCGACTTCGTCGTATCTCACGTAATTTCAAACTGATAAGAATAACAGCCCACGATGTCGGGCTACTGATAACACACGATCCATCCTAATACGAGAGAACATTTCTGCGGTATATTTCATCCACGATGAACACTCTTTAGGCCTTTGGCCTCTGTCGTTCCACGCGCTTCATTCACACGATGGGATGTCCACCGGGATCGAGGTCGCTACGTGGCCTGACCTGGTATTCTGGTGCAGATCTGTTCGGTGGCTGATCTAATACGCGTGTTCTTGAACGATAATTTCAAATCAGTTGGACCGTTTGTTCTGTTGGTCTCGCCGTAGAATGAGATTCACGGTAAAAATAGTTCTCAAACGAGTTTCCCTTTACTCGTTATCAGCAACCTTTTAGGTGATAATTTATCTTTGACGTTTTACGAGCCACGGAGCAAAGCATGATTTGTCAAACAATCCGACGATCCTCGGTCATATTTACATCAGACATTTGAATATGCAAAGGAGTATAGAGTTCATGTAGCATGCAGATGTATTCAAAAATTCTTCCTCCGATGTTTTGCTATTCCATCTTGTTTCACTGTTGATACTTTGCGAAAAAATGGTAGCTAGAGAAATAACTATTTTATGCGTCATACGGTGCGATAACGAATGACGCGTATCCATTTCTTGGTGACTAAATGACAGAGTGTTCCGCGAATGTTTGCGGATGTATGAACGGCTTTGAGGGCGGACTTTGAAAAGCTTTTCCCTTGTTGGTAGAAAGCCAAAGCGCGAACTATAGATCTTGGCACCCAGCCATTTTTTTGCGAATACGCGTTATTGTGATATCAGGATTCGAGTCGCCACTTTTGATTAATATACGCGGTATTTCGTGATAAGTAACGATCTTAAAAATGATATAATTAATTACATTCTCGAGGCCTGATAATGCACTTTAATTAAGAAGCCTTTAGATAAGTAGATAAATCCGCTAATACGATTACCTTGAAAAGAACGATAGAATTTGTCATACCCGGTGTGCTCGCGTTCTTCTTTTAAAATATATTACTGTCGGAAATTTTTCGATAAAAGCGATGCAGCCGGGCAGTCTGGAGTTTCATTTGACTGAGGAGAATTTTAATGTTCTGTTACAGCATTTTTATTCATGGTCGTGAACTTCATATTGACCACAGCGTCCCTCGCAATGGTGCACGAACGAGTTCCCGATCGAAATACGTACGGACCGCTGCCGGATGTAGTGCTGGACAACGTCGTCGCCCAGGACTGGGCCCTTACCGTGTCGGAAGTTCTGATTATGATAATGTCCAACTCAGCGATGGTTTTTATTATTTTTCATAAGCATAGGTACGTATCGTTCGTGTACGAATCTGTACAATCGTTTATTCTTAAACTTGAAGTTTTTCTTGACAGGCTCGGGGTCAGAAGTAGAACCAAGTAATTCTAGTCTTTCTTACACCTTGACAGTAGTCTCGAGATAATTATCCTCTTAGCTCGTTAAGCGAAGCTAAAAAGATAATCTCATCTTTTCAAATGTTTATATTCACACTACTGCGGGTGACGTATCTTCAGGTCGCTCTTATTTTACCGAACGCGTCGCGTTGCTTCTTTCAGATTTATCGTTGTTAGGCGAATATTTCTTCTGATGGGGCTGCTCTACATGATGCGCAGCATCACGATGTACGCGACGGTACTACCGGTTGCCAGCAAGACCTACTACTGCAGCCCGAAGGCGAACAACACGAGTCCGCTCCTCGTTATGAAGAGGGTCCTGCAACTCATCTCTGGCTTCGGCTTGTCCATAAACGGCAAGCATACTTATTGCGGGGATTACATTTACAGCGGTCACACGGTTGTGCTTGTACTTAGTTACCTGATTATTGAGGAGTGTAAGCATTCCCTTCGCAATATAATTGATACGCGCGATATAGTCGAAGGAGAAATAAGAGAATTTATTTTTTAAACGCAGATTCTCCGAGAAGATGTAAACCGATTCATTGGCTGGCGGGTATTACTGTTCTTGTTGGGGTAATTATGGTCTTGGTAGCTCACGGTCATTATACCGTGGACGTCCTCATAGCATACTACGTAACTACACGCTTATGGTATATTTATCATACGTTAGCTAATAATTCGCATCTTAAGGTGAGTCGAACTTTTTGTATTAAACTTGCTATATTTCATAAACCGAGCTTCTTAATTGCTTCAGTGATGTTAAGAGGCAATAAGAAGATGAAAAAAATGGAACTTTGATATTCAAACAAAACTGTTCAAATGTATTTGCAGCAATACGAGCCAAACAACTTCTTGGCTCGACTCTGGTGGTTTCCTATGTTTAAATATTTCGAGAAAAACGTGGGCGGCACGGTACCACGACAATACGACTGGCCTCTACCTTGGCCTCGACGATTCCTTGCCAAGCACCCTAACCGGGACAGTTAATGTCCGTCTTTAATTTCTCGATAAGAGGCTGTCAAACAACGGAGTTACTTTGTTATAATTTGTATATATATATATATATAAAACATATATGTATACGTACTTAGGCTTACAAAAAAAAAAAACAGAAAGAAGCATGTGGAGGCCAAGCTTTATTAGAAAGCGGTACGGGAGACGTGTGCGTATGTACAAACTTTTGTCAAATGTTCGCGAGTCGCTTTCGATCCCGAGACTTGGCGAGAGTTTGCCGTGTTCACTTCCTTAAGAAAATGAAAAGCAAAAAGCTGTCGACGGGGGAAAAGAAAAATGAAAAATGAAATGACTACATATAGAAACAAGAACGATAGTGAAGACAGATGCTTGTACCGTCATGTTCGTTATCGTCCAATTGCGAAACCTATTTTTTCTTGATTTTGATACGACTTATACATACGATGTAAGGGAATAGACAAAACGGTAGCTCGAGATGTTTAGTCTCACGACGAATTCACTTAGCGGGAGGTATCCGAGAGTTACCAACAAATTAGTGTATAAAATAATAAAATGCTAGATATCTCTATTTTCAGATACTCCGAATGTGAACTTAGATTATTATTAAAACGAAACGCAATTCGATCGAGCGCGGTAACACGAAACATTAACGATTGATAAGCGGATTATTTTACAATCTTTCTCGTTTGAACAACGACAGGGAAGTGGTTGGGGAATTGATCGACTAAAATCGAAAGACAGATCATATGTTCGCTTGCTGCGAGAGACCCTCCTTTGGCTAATCTCGAAACGCGTTCCGATCTTGCAACTTCCAATAAAATCAAGATGATGTCGTACTTTGTACCAGTCACATTAACGGCATGCCTTATTCCGACGAAAGTCAACCGAACCGCGGTCAGGAGACACTTGGATGTCGGTCAATTGTATCGTTCGTTTCCCTTTTCCGTAGTTTCTTCGTGTCTGCTTTTCCTCGAAATTGAATTCTTTCTCTCAAAAGTCGGGAATCTTGTACCAGAGGAATTTGGTCCATAATTTTTTATATTCAATCGATGATCGTGCAATTTCGTGGGACCAAGTACAGTCTGGAGAGCGCAGTCTACTGTTCAGGTAGCGATCGAGCGTAGCGATTATTCTTCTGTGACGAGGAGTTAAAAACAATTGGTCTATTTTTCTAAGTGATCAGTTTTTGGTATCGCGTTCACGTGTTGCATCGTGTCGCGACGTATTATCGACGAAGTTGATTATATAAAGTTCGCGCGATCAGACCCACGGATTAGATTCTTCGGAATAAGGTCGTCTTTACATTCTACACACACCAGATGTTGTCAGTCATACGCGAAGGTGGAGGATAACGTCGAATCGTACGAAGGAGGCTCTAGACTGACAAAGAGGAGATTGTAAAGGGCTCGTCCTTCGTACGATCTCATTCTGTTTCCAAATTTTCTGCTATCTCGCGAAACCGCGATTCTTGCCCCGCTCTGAACATTGCGATGGCAGCGATCCTTCAGTTTCATCGTCATTTTTCTTTGAGCCGGTAGCACAAAAACGCTTGGAATCTCCACGTCGAATTGCGTAGGGGAGTAAACAAGATTTGTAGAGAATCTCAATTATATCCGTTGTAAAAAAGGACTTAGAAGATGAAGAGGGATGATCGGTGATTATTCGATGAGAAGCGTTGAACGATTGTTACGAGGTGAATAATTTAAACGATATTTGCTTGTTGTCTTTTGCACGACTTACATTGGTAACTGCGCGCAGAACTCTTTTCTCTTTACTCGTTGTACGAGCTGTCCACGTTCGAGTAACGCCCGTTTGATATTGGAATGAAGTCGATGCAAGGAATTGTAAGATGGTTTAAAGAATGTTTTTCTCGTTACATGATGCGTGCACGATCTGAACGACGAAGTCTGAACTCTTTTTTCCACTGTGATGATAAACGAAAAAAGAAATTGAGTGTCGTTGCGCGAGTTCTCGATCGTGGAACGAAGCACAATCGTGAAACGATCTTTAATAACGTGTCCATTAAAGGCCACTGATATTTCTCGATCCTCTACGGATCATTTCTTCCCGTACAAATTAATCGAAGACATTCCCCTATTCATTTCTTCGAATGACTCGACTATTAAAAAGTTAAATAATTAAACAAGTTGTCGTATCGTTGGAGAATGGGCCGTAGAGGAGAAACTTCGTATAGATGAGTGTGTCGAGTGCATATATATATATATATATTTTAATAAGATTAAATGTGGTTCGTAGCGATATTATTAAGCGACGCAACATTTGAAGGTGTTACAGAAGAATTCTATAGGATCGTTCAGGTACACAAAATATATTTTGAACCGTGTGCATAGGTATACACGCGCTCTTGAATCAATTCGTGACATACAGAATACGTAGTGGAAAAAAAAAAGATTTAAAAATAAATTAATATCGGATTATGCCTACATTAATTATTGTACGTGTATTTAGAAAATATCTCGTTGTTCTTTTTGGCCGGCACTTGCGAGACTTTAGGAAAACGGAGATCTTTGATATTAGCTGCTCGCCAAAGCCCGTGCCACGATCTGCCAGAGATATTGTATTAAACTCGCCCGGAATCGTTGAGGACCGGACTGCTACATCGTGCGACTCGCAATAAATGCGTTTATACGTATGCACACCCGCGCGATGATCTACACGCACACACGATAAACGGATAAACGTGAAAGAAAGAGATGTTGTGAACGGAAGGGCCTCGTTAGCGTTCCCGAAGTAGAGGTAGGAGGAAGCGCAGAGAAAGTTTTAAGAGATAAAAGCGGCAATTGCGCGCGCGAGCGAGTGAACGACATACTGTGTATGTGTGTTTGTATATGTATATACATATATATATATATATATATATATATATATATATATATCTATATCTATATTTTTACTGTGTAGATATTTTTTGGTAAACTTGTTACAATAATCCTATTAGACCAGTGCAAAACGTATTATATGCATATATATGTTGTAAATATAAAAGAAACGATAGTCGAAGAGGAAGCTTCTGTCCGAGATCGCGGTCTGGATAATTTAATCGGGAAGAAACGAATCAAAACATTTCGTTGGACGATTGATTTATAAGGGTTCTTCGGTGACTCGTGTTTTATTTATCTTATTTTGCTCTATTCTCGTCTCTCTCTCTCTTTCTGCGTCTTTACGCAAAAGATACGATGACATTCTCTCAGCAATTAATCAACGACTGTGGCCGACGCACCTTTGATTTTCGTTGTCAATGATCCGTGCGCCGTTGTTGTACATAGAAAAGCGAAAAACACTGCATATATATATATATACATATATTATTCGGTAAGTCTTCAAGATTGTTTAATGTGAAAAAAAAAGAGCCGGGGGGGTTGCTACGTCGATGAACGTGAATCCACCCCAGCGTGCAACAATAAAGACGGAAACAACTTGTACTCGCCTTTACTTTATATGCTACTCTATATTTATAATATTTATTACGTTTTTTCATATGTTGATGTAATAAAGTTTAGGTATATACTTTGCAATAGCCGCTTTTCTGCATCTTATCACCTACGATCGGTTTAGCACACTTCGTCTCGTTTGCCTGTTTTCCGTGGATATCCGCGAATCTTGAATGATCTCGTTGAGATAGTCGTCGCATTCGTTGCTGTTCTCTGTGCGCGTTGAATCGGTGCCTTTCAACGTCTTCGTCGGGTATTTAGAATATGATTTGAAAGGTTTTTCGCGTTCTATATCATGCGCTTAAATATTTTTCTATGATGTATAGGATTATACGTGGTTTTAAGGCGTGCGCCAGGTAAGTCGGATACACATAATTTCATGGCATAAGTACACACAATAATCTCGTTATTGTAATGTTAAGGATGTTTATAATAAAATGTATCAAGACAATAATCTCTTCTCTGTTCTATTTTCACATCCCACGGCTCGTATGATCTCATTTCATGATCAATAGATTCGTTACGTCAATCGATTACTTCTGAAGTATTTGAAATACAAAATATTGTATACGATCTGTTTTGAAAGTAATAACAGTACCTACAACTTTTATTTAAAGCATTTTTC